GCTGAAAATCGAACCCAGTGCCTCACACATGCTAGGCAAATGCTTTACCACTGAGCTACAACCACATCCCCAAATATTCTCTTTTTGAAATCCATATAAAGTACTGAGGAAGACAAAACATTCAATAAATAATCATATTATACAGTACAAAGTGATGCTACAAAGTGATATAAAAAGGTAAAAGTAAATTTTTACTTTTCCAGAATATACGTATTTTAAGAATCTGGAGTGAATTACAAATTCAATTTTGTCCTTGAAATTTTTTATAACAATAGAATTATTAAGAGTAGTTGACACTAGAAGTTAAAATATAATTAGTGCCTTTGCAGGTAGGCTTTAATTTACATAAAAGACACTTGGGAAATTTAATGTATTATAAAATTAGTCTGTCACATAACTTTTTAAAAGAAAAAAATAGATTAAAAATTATGAAACAAGGATTCCTAAAAAACAAATCACAGCTATGATTACTAGTATATCCAAGATAAGAGATTTATAAGCCTTTCAACATTTGATAAAACCTTTGGATTCTTTTTCCCATAGAAACAACAAATTTACATATAGTTTCAGGTAGTTACAGATCCTTGGAAATACATCATCAAATTCCCAAGAGATATTAAGACTAATTCAACAAAATAGGTACTGAGGATATGATGATGACTAAGAATTTAAAGCCAGGTGGAAGGATATAAAATCTTTCATATAGACACACACACACACAAAGTATTGCACACACTGCAAAGAAATGATGGTATGAGAAATTATAAAAGGGGTAAATGAAAACCAAGAACAATTTCCCTGCAAAAGAAATAAATGAAATAAGACTAATGAGAAGAAAAACAGTTTCAGATAAGATGATCAGCATGTGCAGAGAACCTGTAGAGGGGTATAAGAGTAGCACAGAAAAGTCTGTGCAGTTAAAGTACAGATACTTCAAGGAAGAGGTATATAAGAGAAAGTGAAGAGATTGCCCTCATTTGGGTTAGCCTTTATCAAAAGCAACCTACTGAGTTTTAAGCAAGGGAGTGGATGCGATGTGTTCTAAAGACAGCACTCAAACTGCAGTACGAGATCAGACTGAAGTCTGATAAGAGTCAAGTTAACTAGCTGTGGAAATAGTACAGTAATTCTGGTTGTGGACATAATCTGGATAAGGACAACAGTGGTGATGGAAAAAAAATGAAAAGATTAGAATTAGTGAATTTGAGCTTTTTTTCCAAGTATATTTTGTTTCTTCTTCTTTTTGTTTTTTGCTTTGATGGGATACTGTTATAGCAAGAATTGCTTTGTCCCATTGATGGATATCCCCTGTCCCAATGGGGTGTCCTGTCAGATCTTAAAAAAGGAGACTATTCCTGCCCCAAGTCATAAATTAACAGTACTGGAACCTACTGTCACATCCTTTGTGACCAGCAGCCTCTATCTTCCATGGGCAAAAGGGGATGAATAGCAGGGCAGAGGCCAAGTTCTCTTTGCCCATTTTTCTACAGCCCAGATAGGTTTTGGGGGATATTTTTTCACCCCATCTTAGGGTTAGTGTCCTTGAACAAACAATTAGATGATCTGCAGTCGCAGATCTGCCTGGGGCCAGCTGAACAAAACAGTGCTGGCAATGTCGCTTTAACCTTTTCTTCTGGTATCCTGCTATCCTCACACACCATCTGGCATCTTCAACTTAGTTCCTGATTGTTCAGACCCCTTATCATGCAACTGCATAAATGACTGTACATACAGAATCTCTTCCATATACTTTACCCCTGACAGACCAGCTTCAACTGCAAAATTATATAATAATCCAGAAAAAACATTCAAAATTTAGATTGTATTACAGTAAAACATGTTTCTCTTAGATAGGCTTATACCGGTAAGTGGCCCATTCAGCCAAGATCTCTTTTCTCTCTAGAGACTACTGGTAAGATCAACCCAGCACGGCCCATGTCTCAAAGGGCCAGCAGCAGATACAAAAAAAAAAAAAAAAAAAAAAAACCAAAGACAAAAACAGAGAGACAAACAACTAGACAGGCTCTTCAAAATTTTAAATTGACCAGCCAAGATTTTTCCCAAGAGACTACCTATAGAATCAATGAAGTATTGGGCATGTCTTAAAAGGGCCAGTAACATACCAAAACAAACAAACAACAACAACAACAAAAAAAAACACCACCAAAACACAGACAACCAAAGGGAATTCCCAAACCCAAGGCCAACAAACAGATAAGAACCTAGGAGACATCAGAAGGGAGAAAATATCCCTAGGTTCTTGATTCCTGCTTAACCATGATTCCTACATGAAGTGGCATCACAGATGTTCCCACAAAGAGGAAGCAGAGGTGTGAAATCAAGGGTCTCTGCATGCATGGTGAGGGATTTACCAGATGGCTAAGGATGTCACAACTTTACTGAGTTCAGTTTACATTTTCTCAAAATGAACCAGGATTGAACAACCTGTACCATTCAGGGAGAGAAGGTGGGAGTTCCCTGAAGCTCTTTTTTGCTTCAGAAGCTGCTGGGTTAGTGCCTCAGTCCCTCCCTTTAATCACAGGAATAGCTCTTCTGGTCGAACCCAAGGCAAACTCCCATCTTCTAACTCTCTACAGTTGGCTCTCAACAAGTTTGCCTGTCAACTTGCATCCTTAGCATGGGAGTAGGGTTCCTTGGAACCCTAGCTGCCCAAAAAAGCTGGAACAGGGAATGCTCTTAGGTCCCACCTGGGGTGCCAAATTTGTTACTAAAAGCTCAGTTCTTGTTTCCATTGCCAATCCAATAAGGAGGAAACAGTTCTGAGAAAAAGGTGGTTTATTGATTTGCTAGCAAAGGAGAATCACAGGGGACTCCTGTCCCAGAGGCTGTGATTCAAACATAATTTCTTTCTGGAGAAACTGCCCATTTTCTACAACAGTTTCTCTTAATTTCCATAAGCTGTTTTAGAGAAATAGCATTAGTTTTTTATCTGCCATATCTGTTGTATTTTTTTCTAACTAGTTTTGCTCTTTTCTTTGGTATGTTTTCCAGTTTTTATGTAATAAATCTATATAGTCATATGGCATAACTAAATTTTAATGGGCTATGTATATGATGGTAGTTTCATAAAATTATATTATTTACTGATAATGATATTATAGCTGTCTTAGTTTGTGACTCTATGTTCACAAAAGGACAAAATCACCTAATGACATTTCATAGAACTGTTCCTATCATTAAGCAATGCATGACTGCATTTGCTTTTTTAAGATGATATTAATTTTAAATAACATCATCTCCACTTTTTTTCTGTCCTTTTTATCTTCTTCATATTGGAACACATTAAATTTTAGTGTGGGGCACATATACTTCCTGATTTGATAAATTCATTTAGTCATCCAGCATGCAGTCATAAAACATACATGTTGCAGAGAATACATATATATAAAAAAGAAACAGGTGTTTCCAGAATAGAAATCATTCTGATTGCAAAAGGAATACACACCTCAATCTAAACTAAGTTTAATGATAAAATTTTAACTATTTTCAGGAGGCCTGGAAGTTAGCTAAATGAAAAATAGCCTTTTGCGACTAGGATTCCCTGTCATTACCACTACCACAGTCAAAACCTGACATGAAGCTAACTAGTATTTCCTGTGAATTCCCAAGGCCATCTTAATGATTTCGGATTTTTATATCTCAATGGTAACCTACAGAAAATAGCCTACCAACTGTTTTCTATCACAAATCACTAGTTTCATTTACCCTCCTTCAGTATATTCTGTACTCTGCCTACTGAAATCCAGACTCAATCTGGCAATAAAGCAAAAACATAATTTTAGTTTTATCTTCTACTTCATCCCACAAGTTCCTCAGTGAAGCCTTTTCTATCCAGTAGGGTTTCCTAGTACCATCCTTTCCCAGCTTGTACTAGTCCCTCTGCCTGAAATGCTTTCTACCTTCAGTGACTGCAATTCTTGTATAAGAGCCTCAAATATCAAGCACAGATATCACTATATGACCTTTTTCTTTGGAACTTTTCTGCTCTACTCATTTTTGGGGGACACTAATTATAAACTGTATCATAAGTGGGTATTTCTTACGCATTTCTGCCTGATACGGGTTAAGCGAAAATCTAAGGTATATTTTACACAACTCTGTAATCTGAACAGTGAATTGTCCTTAACAGATACATATCCACAGAATAAGGGGATAAAGACTACTTTTGCTGTATATAGCTGTGAGGTCCTCATTTGATCCTTGCTTTTTGAGCTTACTTTAAGTGGCAGACTTGGTTACCAGGTGACATTAATGCATTATGGTGGAGGGGGTATGAGAACAAATGCAGGATCAGATTAAAGAACGAACAAGAGAAGGGAAATGGAGGATAGCCAAGTATAAATAACTCGTCCTTAAGGTTTGTCTGTAAATGGAATGGACAGAAAAATGACGAAGAAATAATGTACTAACCGTCCACGGTCTCATTAAATATCAGTAAATTTTTAAGAAAAGCTACAGTTCTTAATCTTTCCCTTTCATTTTCGACCGTAAATAAAAAGCAGGTAATGAGTACGGAGAGTTTATTAAGGATCACGCATTGTGCTGACACTTCTAGAAATCGGGAAGGGGAGTTACTGGCGGCCATACACCGAGTTCCTGGAAACCCGCGTGGGTCCATCAAGAGGCCGCATCCTTCACCCCACCACGTCCCGATTACTCGCCCGTCGAAAAGACGCAGAATAGCTGGTTTTGAGAGCACCAATATTGGCCCCACTGGTTCTCAGCCCTCGGCGCTCACCTCGTTGTTGAGGTTCAGAGACCCCGGCGGCGCCATAGTAATAGGTCCAGACGGAGAATCCATGGCTATCTGCACGTGAACTCCGCCGGTCACACCGCGGCTGCGTTGCTACGCCCCTCAACCTCAAGCTCTTCCGCCCTACACTGTTCCGCGTCTCCGGAAGCTGACGACTGGAGAAAAGCGACGCGACGCAGGGCGGGGGAGGAGCAGAACTGAGGGAGAGCAACTTCCGGCTCGGAGTGTGACGCGGCGGAACTGCGTGTTTCTATGGAAACGGGGAGCGGGTGGGTAGCCTGAGGGAGTTCCACTCCTGAGGTTCCCCAAAGCGCTTGTTTTTCATGACCTTGCTTTGGTTATGCTTCCTAGTACTTAATCAAAGGTCGTTAGTGCCTTCTTTTTTGTTTCCTAGTGTGTGTGTATGTGTGTGAAAGCTTTAGTTACAAGGTCAAGTAGTTGTGTGACCGAGTTTTTGCTCCGATTTTTTTATTCAGCGTATGTGAAGATTTATGCGCGTTGAACAAACATGTATTATGAGAATCGCACAGCTTTTCATTCCCATATTTCTGAGGCGTAGATATGTTATGAACATTCTCAGAGGTTTACGTAAAAGCAAATTGAAGTAAATTGGACATTTGAAGCAAAACCAGAATACAGATTTTCTACAGCCTGTGAGAATGTCCGTTTTGAAGTGTTGATCTCCAGGCAAAGAAAACATAATTGAGATTTTAAGTCTGAATTAGATAATAGATAATTAGTTATTAATTATGAATTAGATAGTTATTAATTAACAATTTAATATTGACAGTTAAAATGAGTCAAATCAGTTTACATGACTTAGCATCAAAATCGTCACAGAAACCCAATGAGATAGGAATTGGTGTTCTTATTTCACAGGTATGGAAACGGACCTTAGAGAAGACAAGTGTGTTGTTCAGTCATCTGCTGGAACGGTTTACTGCTACAAGACTTAAGGTACCACAACATAGTGTGTGGGGTCCAACGTGAAATGAAAATACAGAACCTTCATTCAAAAAGCTCAAAAATTGTTCTCCCACACTATCTGAACTTATCATGCTGTTTATTTACGATTTAAAATGACCCTCCCTCAAGTGCAAGACTAGTGAGGTATCAGTGCAGACCCTTAAAGATGCCCGAGATCCCTGCTCCAAGACTTGGACACTGTGCTCAAGCAAGGTGGCAACTGTGGCTATGTGGGGACCTGGGAGCAGGAAGGTTGGGACTGGACAGGACAGTACATACACAAAGAGTGAGAGCCCTTGGTATATGTTCCTTTTTTCCCCACTGGATTTCACTTACTAAACTGAAATTCATAGATGTAATTATTAATTTCAAAATGATGACCAAAGCATGCTTAACCATGGCCCACATCTAAGCATTTGTCCATGTGACATAGTACTGTCCAGAGTCACTTCTCCTAATTCCTCTTGAATAGCTTAGACTTGTATTTGGATTTTATATTCTCATTTTTTATGTGGACCTGGGCACAAATGTTTAACTGCTGAATTCCTGTTTGCATGAAAGCAGTTTTACTATATCATACACTGAATTTTGATTGTCTTTCTTTATTAAAGCTGAATTTCTGGTATGTAGGAGCATTTTCAGCATCATGTGGGTAGTAGAAACATCAATTTTAAATACATGGAAAAAAGTAATGAAGGGAAATGTAGAGCTTTAAGGAAATTATGTCTTCTATTTTGGGATAGCAATGTATTATGATCCTGTAATGCTTCAGAAGGTATATTTTAATATAAAATTCAGCTGTAGATCTTAAAGGCTTTGTATCTAATTCTCATGACCATCTCAACACCTTATTTCTCTAGCCTCCAGAGCTTACTGAGGCTCAGTACTTTTTTTCTCCATTGCTTAGCCCATGCTCTCTCATTTGCATATTATGCTCCTCGCAACCTACTTTTGTAAAAACCACTTTGGAGACCAGGCTAAATTCCTTCTATCCGTTTAAGAGTTCTTTTCATAGCCTCCTCTAAAAAGTTAATTTTTCTCACCATCAATTTTTATAGTATTTATAATTGTCTACCTTAATTTGAAATTTCCTGTGAACTGTCATTTTTAAATATTAGAATTAAGTACTCAGCAGCCTTAAATCCTCAATTTTTGCAGAGACTTTTCTTTTTCCATTTTCACAATATCCATGTAAAATTATTTGTTTCATATATATACTACTTCAAAATCAATACATCTTACTTTAATGCAACAATATAAAAATTGTTTGGTTTGTTTATAAAGGTGATTTTACTAACCTGCTCTCTTAAAGCTATGCACATTTCCTCTAGTAATAATAATAATTACTTAATGAGACTACAAATTTTTCTTGAAAACAACACATCAAACCTTTTCACTGTTTTATTCCTGAAAGGATGACTGGGATCAATTAATTATATAAGGCTTATGAAATGACAAAGTTCTTATCATTAAAAGAAACTTGTTTGAGACCTTTTATTCTTTAGAACAGTGGTCCAATTAGTGGAACTAAGGATCCACAAACACATTCACTAGAAACTTACATTTTTCCACTTCTGGTTCTTTAAGAGCTTCTCAAATTCCTCTGTATTAGTCTATTTGGGCTGGTATAACAAAGCACCACAAATTGGGTAGTTTATACAACAGAAATTTAGTTTTTTACAGTTCTGGAGTCTAGAAATCCAAGATTAAGTAGCAACTCTTATAGGCATGTAATGATATGATACTGTAGTTTTAATTTACATTTCCCTAATAACTAACAGTTAATTTCTGGTGAAGGATCTCTTCTTGACTTACAGATGGCTACCTTCTCTTTATGGTTATATCCTCACAAGGCTTTTCCCTCTGTGCACATGTAGAGAGAGAAATCTCTAATATGTCTGCCTGTTCTTATAAAGACAACAATTCTGTTGGATTAGGATGCCACAACTATGAGCTCATTTAAAATAATTACATCATTAAAGACTTTATCTCCAAATCATGTCACATTGGGGCTTCAACATATGAATTTGAGTGGAGGCACAATTCAGTCTAATATACTTACATTTTTTGAGAATCCTTCCATATTACCTCAAAGAAAATAATCTTCTTCTCATTTTAATGCCTTATTGCTGCCATTTCTGTCATTTTTTATTTCCATAAATGGTAGTCATCCATTAATGGATCACAACTAAACATGGTTGTTTATCAATCATAATAGAATTGAAAAATAGATTCATTTTTGGACAAGTGATTTGTCAAAATTGTGAAGGGAATTCAATGGGGAAAAGATTGTCTTTTCAACAAATTATGACTGAACAATTGAATATCTATGTGAAAAACAAAAAACTACTTTGACTTGTACATCATGCCACATGAAAAAGCAATACAAGATGGTTCATACATGTAGGTTTGAAACCTAAAGTTCTAGAAGACAATGTTGGACAAAAACTTTGACTTTTGGTTATGTGAAGGTTTCTTGGATATATAAAATCAAAAGCAGAATCCATATAAAAATATATTGATAAATAGCACCTAATCAGTAATAACACTTCTATCTCCCATTAGACAGTATTAAGAAAGTAAAAAAGAGAAACAATACATGGAGAGAGAATTTTTACAAATCGCATATTTTATAAAGGATTTTTATCTAGAATACATTAAGAAGCTCTGGAATCAATAAGGAAACAAATAATCCAATAAAAAAGCAAAACAATATTAGCAGATACTACACTTTAAAAGATATTTGGAGAGCTGAGTGTGGTGGCACATGCCTGTATTCTTAGAAACTTGGGAGGCTGAGGCAGGAAGATCACAAGTTTGAGATCAGTCTTAACAACTTAGCGAGACCCATAGCAACTTAGCAAATAAAAAGTAAAAAAATAAAGGGCTGGAAATTTGGCTCAGTTGTTGAGTCCCTTGATTTAATCTCCAGTACCAATAAATAAATAAATTAACTAATTAAAAACAAAAGGTATGTGGATAGCAAATGAAAATATTCAAAACCATTAGTCATCAGGGAAGTACAAATTAAAAACATAGTGTCATACCATTATACACCTAGTAGAGTATAAAATTAAGTCTTATCATACCAAGCGCTAGCTAGGATATGAAGGACCTAGAACCCTCTTCTGTCACTAGTGGTGGTGTAAAGTGGTACAGCCATGTTAGAAATAGTCTGGCAAGTTTTTAAGAATTTATGCATCCACCAGCCATACGATGTAAGATTTTTTTCTTGAATCAATAGAAAAATGGAATTAGGTATCCTTTCAAAGAATTATGTATTAATCCTCAGAGCAACTTTATTTGGAGCAGTTAAAATATAAAAACAATCTAAAATTCCATTCAACAGGGATATACCATGACACATGTGCAAGCATGCACACACACACACACAAAATACAACACCACTCAACAATAAAAAAGAATGATATATACTTCAACATGGGTAAATTTTAAAATAGTTATGCTAAGTGAGAGAATCCAGACAAAAAGAATATATACTATTCCATTTATGTAAAACTCAATTATATTAAGTCTAGGAAATGCAAACTACTGTGAAGTAGGAAAAAAAGATCAATGATTGTTTGAGGAAGTATTAGAGAATGGTTGAACATGTAGAAGGGAGAAATGACAAAGGATCCTGAAGAAACTTTTAGAGTGGATTAACATGTCCATGATTTTGTTTTTGGTAAGTGTATACATATGTCAAACATTAGTTTTGTGCAGCAACCTCATTAAAACTTAAATATTCCTACTATTAAATCAAAAGTTCTACTTTTAGCACAAAACTATAGTAATACTGCTACAAGTCAATGATGTATATGTAAAACTGTTATCTAAATGAAATAAAAAAATAGAGGAAATCTATCCATCTATGCAGAATGATCAGGTTAAGGACCTATTAAAAAGAATATTGACTCTTTGTTTACTGGAATGGATGAATTTATGTATTTTTTAATGAATAAGTCAAGTGGAACTATACTGGAGTACGCTATTATGTGTGTTTGGAAGAAGAATATGTGATATGACATATTCTTCTTTCAAACAAATGTTATGACTCTACTTTTGTACAACCAAAGACATGAAAAATTGTGATCTATGTGTGTAACATGATTTGAATTGCATTCTGCTGTCATATATAACAAATTAGAATAAACAAAAAAGAATATGTGTACACACAGATAGCACATTTACTTGCTTGTATAGAATCTTTGTTATTTTGAGGGTAAATCAGTGACTGTGGCATATGTGTAAAGTGCTTCTACCATGTTTCTTGTCTACTTTGAGTTTTGTGCTGTGTAATACTACTTTTTTCATCAGAATTTAAAACATATTATTGTGATTTTTGTTGTAACCATGAGTGAAATATGTTCTATTTTAACTTATTATTACCAGTACAGACAACTATGATTTTTTGGCATACTTGTTATTTTTTTCTAGTATTTTTCTTTGAGAGGAAGGGATTCTTTTTAAAATGTGCAGAAAGAAGTATAACCCAGAAGATAACCTCTATTTCTCGGTGTTTATGACACTTTATTTGTATTATTATTTTGCTAGAACTTCCAAAACAATGTTTGCATGTTTGTTCTTGATGTGGCTGTAAATAAATTCAAAATGAGACCATTTGAAATGATATTTGATATTTGTTATAATGAATAGTTTAGTCAGGAAGTTTTATTTTCCTAGATGTTTTCTCTGAGTAAATGGTTACTAAATCTTCTCATTTACATTTTCAATTTTGATTGCTTCAATGAAGTTTTTTCCCTTTAAGGCATTTTCCCATAAATATTCTAATTCTATTGAAGCTGCTAGAAATTATGGACTTTTACCAAGAAAGTGGTTGGAACTCTACACCTTTCTCTTTTACTTGAATTTTTGGGTAAAAGAGAAGTTACTATTGATAATTCTGTCATTTTTCTTAAGCATATTCTTTACAGCTTTCAGTACTTGAACAGTTACTAGTAATTTAATTTACAACAGGTTACAATATG